CTGCAAAAGAAACTATGCACCTCAACTTGCTGCCTTTAAACTTGACCCAGCAGAAAACCAGTTACCTCAAAACCAGCAGAATCTCTGCTGTATCAGTTACTAAAAGAAAATGAAGTGTCAGGAGCCCCTTGTACTTTTTTCAAAGTTTCAGGCAACTTGCTCAGCAAACAAGTGGAAAACCTACAAGTCAGACATGTTTTCCCTCAGGCATTAGCACAAAGGCACGAAAAGCCATCAAGGCAGACTGGAATGGCTGCTCTGCAGTGGGAACACACCACAGGATCTGTTCTTGCTCCTGGGAGATGTTCAGCAACACTGTCCCCATTCCCAGAAATCTTCACTTTTTTGATCTTCAATCTCTATTGCAGCCATTGCAAAAGCGACAACAAAATGCACCAGGACAGGTTAGGAGCTGATCTGCTAGAGAGCAGCTCTGTGGAGAAGGACCTTGGGGACAACAAGCTCTCCATGGGACAACAATGTGCCCTGGTGGCCAAGAAGGCCAATGGTATCTTTGGATGCATCAGGAGGAGTGTGTCTAGCAGATCAAGGGAGGTTCTCCTGCCTCTCTGCTCAGCCCTGGTGAGACCTCCCTTGGAGTGTTGTGTCCAGTTCTGGGCTCCCCAGTTCCAGAGGGACAGGGATCTACTGGAGAGAATCCAAGGGAGGCTACAAGGATGATGAAGGGACTGGAACATCTGTCTGATGAGGAAAGGCTGAGAGACCTGGGGCTTTTTTATCTAGAGAGAAGACAGAGAGGAGATCTGATAAATGTCTATAAATACATGAGGGCATCAAGAAGGCAGAACAAGCAATGGATTCCAATGGGAGCGCAGGAAGTTCCACCTCAACATGAGGAAGAACTTCTTTCCTGTGAGGGTGACAGAGCCCTGGGACAGCCTGCCCAGAGAGGCTGTGGAGTCTCCTTCTCTGGAGACTTTCCAGACCTGTCTGGATGCCTTTCTGAGTGACCTGCCCTAGTTTGGGTCCTGCTCTGGCAGGGGGGTTGGACTTGAAGATCTTTGCAGGTCCCTTCCAACCCCTGACATTCTGTGATCCTGTGGCTGTGTGCCACATGTTCTATCCATAGAAGATCAGGATCCAAGGTCAACTTCCAAAAATCACATGTAAAACCAGAGCAACTACTAAGTAAGGAGGATCTTGGCTTTTCAACAACTTAAGATAATTTGTTGTCTGACTCATAACAGGGCAGTTCGAGGACTTGTTCTTACAGCAACAGAGACACAGGCACCTCAATGAGGTCTGGATTCATCCTGCAATAAAAGTGCCCCATGTCTTGTCCCATTGCCTTCCAGATATAGGAAAATCCCAGACCTCATCTCTCTGCTACATGGATTTGATCTGAATAAAGGAAAAAATCATGCAGAGAACTACGGGATCCCAAGAGGAGGTAGTTTTAATCTACTCCATTTTCAAGCATCAGGAGACTGATTCTTCTAACACAGTATTCATCTCCTGATGGGCACTGCATTATTGCATGGACTACTGATGACCAGCCAGAACATAAAAGAATTTGTACACAGACTCTGCTGCAAGCAAATGGAGTCTTAACATGCCAGTGAGGTCTCAAATTACAGAATTTCAGCAAATCTAACCAGCCCTTGGCAAGGGGAGCTGAGGGGACTCTGAATTCTCCTACAACCAAGTACTGGTAATGCTGAAGTTCCTCTCTTGGCCGCCCACCAGCTGCTCAATCAGCCTGGGACTCTTGTATATTTTTTATACATGTGTTTTGGGGTATCAACAATTCTTCACATGTAATGGGAGAAAACACAATTCCTCAGGTTTACAAGTATAAACGTAACGTCCCCGTTGACTGGAGCTGCTCCCAGTTCACACCAAGTGACGTGGGATCGGGAATGCATCTGGGATTATATCAAACAAAGAGATTGTTCCCCTCTTTCCCCCATCAACTTTCATCAATTGGCAAAAGCCTCCAGTGTCCCAGAGAGTTGAGGGGACGGGGGCCTCTGGGAGTAGTGGAAGAGCATCCACCAGAGTGGTTGAGAGGATCTGGCTAAGCCAGACGTTGGGTAACGCTGCACAAACTGTCGGTCCAGCTCAGCGTGGGGATGCTGCCCTGGGCCTTCCCTTTGAGCTGATTATCAGCTTTTCACAGGAACCAGCAGGGAAGCACATGTGAAACCTCTGTGAGGCTGGTGAGTGTCTCCATGCCTTGTGTGACTCTGCATGTAGATGAAGCAGCTTCGGCTTTCGGAGCTGCTGCTGCTTAGTTCTCAGAGAAGTCCTTTTCTCCCGCCTGGCTCCCTGCTGCGACAGCCCTTTTCAGGCTTTCTATCCCCCCCAGTCTCTTCTCCTGCACAACACAGAGAACCTTGATTGAAATAAAGACTCAAGAGAACATGGTTTATTTTCTCCTCTTCAATCCATTTTAGAAAAGCTTTTTAATTGGTTTGAAAAAAAATGCTAAACAAAATGCAACGTCTTTCAGTCTTCTTGAGCTACTAGTAATAGATACCACCATTTAAGCATTGCTGGATGGAACTAGCAAGCACAAGCTGTGACTGGGAATTGAAAGCAAGCTCAGAGATGTTTCTACTTTCTTTAAAGTCTAACATGTTTACTCTCAAAACTTCTGCAAAGTACAAACAAGCCAGAAAGCCCAGAAAACCAGAAGTTTCAAGTATTTGCCCTTCTCACACAACATTAAGACAACACAGCACAAACCAATTCATCAGAGACACACACCTCACACTCCATTTTTACAAGGAATGAACCTAAACCATGATCCCAATCCCACAGAAATTTCTGTTGGTTTGACCTCATGGAGCAGGTTAGTACCACTCATGTACTCATGTGCATCTAAAGCATGTATCTGCATCTCAAACTGCAACAAAAGCCCTGAAACCAGCCCTTGCTTCCAAATAAATTGCTCCCCAAGGGACCTGCTCATCTCAGAGGGAACCTGGAAGGGCGCTGATTAACAAGCAGTGTTCTCTCCCTGCTGGGTTTCTCACTTGAGCTTAAAACCCCCAAGAGTCTCCATGTCCAAACTGAATTTATCTTCACAGAAAACATTCACAGCAGAAAAGGACTTTTCCTGCATGACTCTGCCTCTAACACACTGGGTTTTTTTAATGAAGAAGACACAAGTGTCTTGGGGAACTCACACAAAACAAACATGCCAGGAAGACTCTGCCACCAGAACTGCCAAAGTAAAGTCAGCCCAAAGGATCCCTTCAACCCAAGGTCCTCATTTCCACAGTAGCTGACATTGAACACTCAGAAAAAAACCCAACAACCCCACATCATCAATCAAACAGTGACATTTCCTCAGAAAACTCTCTACCTTCCAACAATTTATGGCTTAAGTCACCGTAATAGTGGCTGTCAACCCAGTCTTCCAGCCTCAAGGGCATTTCAAACATTGCAAAGTACAAATCTCCAGCAACATGCAGAAACTTGGCAAATAGCTGAGAGCTTCCAGCCCTGGACCTTGCTTTCTGGGAGACGTGGGTGCCAACAAAAGTGCATCTAAGCAACAAAACACGTTCAGAGGACGCAGTGACGAAATGGGCAATTTAGTATCTCAAGTTCCTTTAACAACTGAAACAAATCAAGTTCTAATCTCTTAGTTAATGGCAACAACCATTTCCTGGTGGAAATACTCAGCAATAGATCAATGATTGCATGAGATTGCAATGATCAAAGATGGTTGTAGTGCTGCACACAGGCCGCCTCTCTGTTCCAATGTGTGGCAACTGAATCCAAGTCTTATCTTAGAGACTTTCCATGGCATGGAAAGATCACTAGGAAAAATAATCTTTGTTCTCCCAGGTTGAAAGTCACAAGGGGAACTTCAGGGTCTGTGGCATTACAATAAGTTTAAAGTTCTGGATTTGAAAGGTCTTTTCACAAAACTCTCCAAGGAAAACAATGTTCACACAAATGTTACTGTTTCCAGGATATTAAAAATTACCCAAAAAATTGAGTTCATCCAGGCTGTGCTCTTCTGCTTTTTCCTGACACCAACTTTCCAGGTTTTCCTGTTAGTGTGTCATTTATTCATGCAGATACTTTCACACACACAGTAGAATTCCAGTGAAAGCCAGGAAAAATGGCAAAGAATAAAGAAGAGCCCCTGCCTGATTGTTGTGCTCAGTGCCAGCTTCAGAAACATTATCACTTAGATCATAGAATCACAGAATCATCCTGCTTGGAAGGGACCTTGAAGATCATCAAGTCCAACCACAACCTACATCCACCAACCACAACCTGATCCACCCCTTCAGTGCTTAACTCATGTCTCTCAGCACCACATCTGTATTTCTGAAAAGAAAAACACTTCCAGGGATGGTGACTCCACCACCTCCCTGGGCAGCCTGTTCCAGTGTCCAGCCACTCTCTGGGTAAAGAAATTCTTTCTAATATCCAGTCTAAACCTCTCCTGGTGCAGCTTCAGGCTATTTTCTCTCCTCAGATGTTCTTAAATGTCATCAAGCCAGAAAGTGCAAAAACACAGAATCGGTAGGAGATACAAGATCTTAAGCTTTCCTCACTCACTGTAATTTACACCTGATAATTTCAAGTTAAGAACAAATTAAAACCTTGACATCAACTCTCATATAGTACTCAGAAATTGATTCCTAATTCAGGAGGGAGCCTGTGGTTGAGCCAGGGATTGATTTGGACTGAGCAGTTTCTCAGTTCATCAGCAAGCTGACAGCTTGTATGTTTCAGTCGTACATGGGGAAGGTTAAACTTCTTCCCTTAGTCAGTATTTCTAGGGCTAAATATAGAAGCTTCAGTCTTAAGTAATTAGATAATTAGAGCTGGATCCTTTGTGGTTATCCCAGAAATGTCTAACTAACAGCAGCAAGATGGGATTAACTGGACTGCATCAGAGACAGTGGCACTACCAGCACTGGCAGCACAGCAGGTCTCAGCAGGACTCAGAGCTCTCCACTGTCATAACTATCACAGAAAAAGGGCACTTTGCCCCTCAAATACTTTCTTACCTGAGGAGGGGCCTTCTTTAGCAGCACAAGAAGGGCTTGCAACACCAGATTAGAGAACCGTGGTCCAATTGGGACATAATCTGAAATGAAAAACGTATTTTAATGCCCACTAAGCAGATGCACATTTAAGCCACTTCACTGTGTCAAAAACAGGAAGTGGTTCCAGATAATTTCCAGTTCACAACACTTTAATATTGCAAATCATGGAATCATGGAATGGTTTGGATTGGAAGGGACCCTAAAGGTCATTTAGATCCAACCCCTGCATGGGCAGGGAAACCTCCCACCAGCCCAGGCTGCTCCAAGCCCCATCCAACTTGCCCTTCAACACTGCCAGGGATGGGGCAGCCACAGCTTCCCTGGGCAACCTGGGCCAGGCTCTCACCACCCTCACACCAAAGAATTTCCTCCTCATGTCTCACCTACATCTCCCCTCTTCCAGTTTTAATCCACTACCCCTTCTCCAACACTTCAGTATTTCTGCACAGCACATGATCTAGCTCACTCTCATCATCCTCACTCACCTAGAAGTCTCTCAATGTCATCCACAACAACACAGCTGAGCTGGGACTTGTATGCATCATCGAAGATCTACGAAACAGCAAAATGACTCATTGTTAAATCTCAGCAACAAAACTACAATAGTCATGACAGGACCTGTTGATGTGTTTTTACTAAATACAGCAGATTTTGGAGGAATGAACAGAGAACAAAAGAGATAAGTACCAAGAGACTAGAATCTACCTACATTTAATAAAACACTGAGACTCAACATATGCAGAGCTTGGTTTTGTTCACTTTTAAGTATCACAGAATGTCAGGGGTTGGAAGGAACCTCTGGAGATCACCAAGTCCAACCCCCCTGCCAGAGCAGGACCACCAGGGGCAGATCACTGAGAAAGGCATCCAGACAGGTCTAAAAAGTCTCCTGAGAAGAAGACTCTACAACCTCTCTGGGCAGCCTGTCCCAGGGCTCTGTCACCCTCACAGGAAAGAAGTTCTTCCTCGTGTTGAGATGTTCCAGTTTGTGTCCATTGCCCCTCGTCCTACCATAGGGAACACTGAAAAGAGATTGGCCCCTCCTTCTTGACACCCACCCTGCAGATATTTAGACATTAATAAGATCTCCCTTCAGTCTTCCCTTCTCCAGACTAAACAGCCCAGTTCTCTCAGCCTTTCCTCCTCAGACAGATGTTCCAGTCACTTCATCATCTTTGTAGCCTCCCTTGGACTCTCTCCAGTAGATCCCTGTCCCTCTTCAAATGGGGAGCCCAGAACCGGACACAATACTCCAGATGTGGTCTCACCAGAGAAGAGGGGGAGGAGAACCTCCATCAACCTGCTGGCTACAATTTTCTTGATGCCCCCCATAACATCACTGTCCTTCTTGGCCACAAGGGCACACTGCTTGTCCACCAGGACTCCAAGCTCTTTCTCCCTGGAGCTGCTTTCTAGCAGGCCAACCCCTAACCTGTCCTGGTGCCTGGTGTTATCCCTCCCCACCCTGCCCACAGACCAGCTGCCCTGTGTTTCATCATAAGCAATGAACAAAACAGGGCACTATTCCTCTGGTTCTTCGATCTGGGGCCACATGGATCTAACCCCACACACACAGATTCCCCACAATTGTGATGTAACTCCGAAGCTTTTCCACCCAGGCCAGATATTGGCTACTTTTCCTAAGAACTTATTGCAGGGAGAACCTACTCAGGTTCCAGCCTCCATATCACCCCTTATGGAGCAGCCAACCAGTGTCCTGCAAAGCTCTGGATGTCCACAGGTGGCAGCAGAAGGACATCAGCAGCACTGCAGGCTGACCTCAAGCATACACTGACCCAAGTCATGTCCAAAAGGCTCCTTTTTAAATCTAAATTACAACCTGGACTTCCAGCCACGAGCATAGTGCTTCTCTTAGAACCTACACAGTCCTGCAGAGGTTCTGAGCTGGTGACATTTCAGTGTCCTTCAGCTAGAAAAGTAAGTGCTGCAATTGCTTCAATGAAATCCTCCTTCCACCTGGCTACTTGAAATGATTGAAGATCTTCAACTTGTTTTAACTCCCCCTGCTCCCCAAGCTGTTAAAACTCTTGTTTAACCAAATGTTACCATCTCCAAACTGTTCCTAGTTCCATTCCAGCAAGATCTAGTCTTCCCAAGGGTAACCCTGAGCTCCTCCTGCCTTCATCTCTGCAGGCAGAGCCCCAGACTTGCTCATCACAGATGTTTTGTTCGACAGTCATGACAACATATCAGATCCAACTGACAGAGCCCTGGAATTCTCCCTGAGTCACTTCATGTTGGTGCCACAAAAGCATTAATTCAACTTTATAAATAAATAGATGCACATGAATTTTGGACATAGAGAGAGCAAAAAACACAGTCAAAAGAATAATTCACTTTGCTGTTGTGGGAAACTGTTCTTTTCTTCCCCACATAAGTCTAACTAGAGAACACAGAACTGGGTTGTCATCAAGCAAAGAAGTAGGACACAGAAGTACCTTCTTCATAGCTTGGCACTTGGCCGTTTCAGAAAATCCAATCATCTTATCAGGAGAACAGATCTTGATAAAGGGAAAGTTGGATTCTTCTGCTATTTTTGCTGCTAAAGCAGTCTTCCCACTGTGGGGGGGACCTGAAACAAAGGACACACATGATGAAAAAACAGGGCGAAAACAGCTCTGCTAAGGCTCAGCATGGATGGCATTTCAGACGTGTTTCTCATCTCATCTGAAGGTACCTGCACTGAAATGACCTTCTCTGCTCCTTGCAGAAGGAACATGCTCCCTCCCGCTGCAACCACACCTCAGATGAAGGAAATTAATGCAACTATTTGAGCATGTGCAGACTGATTTGCCATGAACCCAACACATCAGAGGATGTTACACGTTTTGTAGGACTGGCCACTGCAGCAAAATTAGCATGTGTTTGTATTCTGAAGGAACTTCTGGAACTGCATTGATGCCCCCTTCCTGTGGCAAACAAGCAGCACGACCATGCCAGCTCAATATTGAGAAAGAAGTTATTTGCTTGAATTCACAGCAGAATCTTCAGAGACCAAAGACTTACCTTAACCTCTTCACCCAGTACAAATCAATCTGGAGAGCAAGAAGATGTTGCATTCAAGCAACATGTTGGCTACAAGCACACAGAATTCTTCAGGAATGAACCCTGTGCAGCAGAGGGTTTGACTTCAGGAAAAGAAAGAGGGAAGCACTAAATAACTACTAATAATAACTAATTCTACTCCATTATCTGTAACATAGATACTGGAACAGGTTTCCTAAGACTCTTGACAGCAACCAACAGTCTAGATAAAGGACAGCCCACCTCTGCCTAACAGCAGACACCTGAGTGTGCCCAGGTGAAGGGTTGTTGGAACTCAGCTAATTGCACTGACACCAGTGCAATCACTCCAGTGACTTCAAAGAAAATGTAGACATCTACCCCAACTAGAGATGCTGGTACCATAAAACACCCACATTTAGATTATTACCTGGGTACATTCACTTCTCTGTTGCTCCACAAACAGGATTTCTCCCAGGCCAAGAAGACAGTTTTAATATCTAAAGCAATTTTCACCCAAGGAAAATGAAAGAGCCCAGTTCCATCTTTCCTCCAATGTGTTTCTTTTTATACAATCACAGAATAGTGAAGGTTGGAAGGGATTTTAAAGACCATCAGGCTCCAACCCCCCTGCATGGGCAGGGACAGCTCCCACCAGCTCAGGTTGCTCCAAGCCCCATCCAACCTGCCTTTCAACACTTCCAGGGATGGGGCAGCCACAGCTTCCCTGGGAAACCTGTTCCAAGGTCTTCCTACCCTCAGGGTGAAGAATTTCTTCCTAATATCTAACCTAAATCTCCCCTCTTTCAGTTTAAAACCATTACTCTCTGTCTTATCACTACACTCTCTGGAGAAAAGCCCCTCCCCAGCTTTCCTGGAGCCCCTTCAGGCACTGGAAGGTGCTCTAAGGTCTCCCTGGAGCCTTCTCTTCTCCAGGCTGAACACCCCAACTCCCTCAGCCTATGTGCAGTTGCAGGATATAACAAATGCCCACTTGGGCAACATAGGAATAGTTTACAGAAGTAAAATACATTTGCATTCCTCCCCTTTACCTTCCAGAAGAACGCTGACCAGAGGCGTGCGGTCACTGTTCTTAGTTTGCTGGACAAGTAGTTCCCCATCATCCAACACCCTTGTTACTGGATCACCCCATTTGATAATCCCATTCATGATGTAGCTTGCATAGTCTTCCTGGTTGGTTCCAAATGCCTGTATTAAGAGAGGGAGCATTTTTTTTTTCCAAGAAATTTTGCATCACATCAGAAAAAATGGAAACAATCAAACATGTCCAAAGTGACCAGGCCCAAGACTCTGGAAGCTGCTCAAGTGAGACAGTCAGTCCTGGAAACCCCCTGAGGGGACTGAACACTCTGCATGTTTAGAAATATCTTTTCACACACCCTTCAAACAAATCCTAATCAGTGCAAGTTGCCAATAGGTTCTGATCCACATGATTTAAAGCCAGTTCTTAAAACTGAGGCTTAAATCTCCTCCTCCTCCAGCCCATGTCAAAACAATCACCCATCAACTGAAGCAGCCTGAAAGGGAGAGTGTCCATACAACAAGAAGAACTTCCAAGTTGCTCTCTTGATTTTGCCTGTTCCTTTTCATGATTCATGCAGCAAAAGGTACAGAAGAGAACCTCAGCACCACAGGCAGAAACAGACCTTCTTCTTTCCTTGCTGCAACCCAGGACATGGTGTGTCAGTCCCCAGTGCCCCCCCTGACCCCAGGAGGGATTTGCTACTTCGTGTCATTGGCTGCACTGGTGACCTTACAGCAGCTGCAAGGTGCCTACTTACAGGTTTGATGTCGTTCTCCAAAGATGCAAAGAAGTCTCCTCTTGTCACACGTAAACTCTCTGCCTTCTCCATATCCACTTCCACTTTGTTGCTGGCCTATAAAGGCAATAAAGGACACTGAAGTGCAGCAGCACCACACCTGCCAGCTCCCATCCACTGACCCCACCACGGGTCAGTCTGGGTCAGGAAGAAAAGGGCTGCCGAGCAAGACATTGGTTGGACATTTGCTGGTTACCACTGAAGCAACCATGATCCTCAGGGAGCCACACCAATGCACCAGCCCCACCAAGTAATGGAGAAGCAGCTGTTCCACTCCACTGGGAGGGAAGCTGAAGAGTATGGCCATGAGCCCCCTTTCAGAGAAGCCACCCCAGCCAAAAACAGGCTGGGAGCTCTGCACCATCCCTGCTGCTGCAGCTCTGCCTTGACTACAGAAACCAAGAGCCAGTGAGGCTCAGACTGGTGCCCAGTGTGGGACTGATCTCACCTACATTCACATTCCTAACAGTTACTAGAGCTCTGCAGGTTCCCTCCAGAGCAGGGCACTACTCCTGCCATTGTAGAGGCTGTAGAAAAAAATGTTACACTTTCTGGGTGCTGGATGGGAAGGGGATGAAGCCTCCTTCACTATCTGACTTAAGAAGACAAATGAAAGTTTGGTTTAACCCACCTCTAAATCCACCCACACCACCTTCAGCAACTCAGCCAAAAGTAAGAACTCCTCACACACCTCTCCTTCAGCTTTTAGATTTCTCTTCAAACTAGCCACTTCCCTCTGTACAATAAAGCCTTGCAGAGGATTGGGACAGTGTAGATTTCTTTCTGCTTTGTCTTTATTTGCTTTAGTTCCACCAAAGCCATGAACCTTCTCAAGGTAGCAATTGGAATGGATCAGCTGGAGCTGGCTCAGCTCACTGGGTTCCTTTCTTATTGAAAAGCATCACCTTGCTCCCTTCAGCCATTCCCAAACCATCCAAAAACTCCTCAAAGCTAATGACTGGAAGCAAACACACAGCAGAGCCAGCATCATTGCAACCTCCTCCTGTAAACTCTTCCTCAATCCCAACTAGAGGTACTACCAGAAGGTGGCCCAAAGCTGCTCACAGGGGAGCCACAGGAGGTTTTGAATTCTTGAATCACAGAATCGCAGAAGCACCAAGGCTGGAAGAGACTTTTAAGATCATCAAGTCCAGCCCATGACCTGACACCACACCAGCCAGACCATGGCATTAAGTGCCACATCCAGCCTTTCCTTGAACACCTCCAGGGATGGTGCCTCCACCACTTCCCTGGGCAGTCCATCCCAATGTCTCATCACTCTGTCCATGAGGAAGTGCTTCCTGATATCCAACCTAAACCTCCCCTGGAGCAGCTTCAGGCCAGGCCCTCTCATCCTGTCACTGGTTGCCTGGGAGAAGAGCCCAGACCCCACCTGACCACAACCTCCCTTTAGGTAGTTGTAGAGAGTGAGAAGGTCCCCCCTGAGTCTCCTCTTCTCCAGGCTAAACAACCCCAGCTCCCTCAGCCTCTCCCTATAAGACTTTCCCTCTGGTCCCTTCACCAGCCTTGTTGTCTCCTCTGGACCTGCTCCAGCACCTCAAGATCCTTTTTGAAGTGAGGGGCCAGAGCTGCACCCAGGACTCAGGGTGAGGTGTCACCAGGGCTGTGTACAAGGCTTTGAAGCTGGAGACTTTATTCAAGTGGCTGCAGACCCTAAACCTGCTGCAGATGTACTGCTGAGCAGGGCTGCAGCTCCACTTCCTGGGAGTATTTGTAGATCTGTGAGCATCTCGATTGCCTTGAGCACCCATGAGGAAAAAAAAGGAATTGAAACAACTTTTCCACTCAATAGGACAGGAAAGCTGGCAGTTAAGATACTGATCCCAGGGGTGCAGTCTGCTGAGGACCCCAAGGGGAGTGAGAGGTACCAGGACCAGGATTAGGCACAGGCTGGATTTGATCTGGGAAGGGCAATTCATCCAACTGCCAAGTGGTAAGGCACAAACCTGGGTGTGAGTAGCACACAGCTGAGGCAGGTCTTCATTCTTTTGCACCCAAGTGCAGCCTTGAAAGGCTTTTGGCAATTTCTGAATTTCCCAATCCTACACGATTTCCAGTGAAATACACCCAAGTCTTACACCACCTCCTGCTTCTACCTACAATGGCCCTACATGACCTGATAGCTGAGGAAGGAAAAACTTGGGATTTCAAGGAGTTTCTTTGAAGGCACAGCAACCTCCTGTAAATAACCCTTACACCTCCAGCACCTTTGCCTAAGACCAAGGTGATGGACAAGTCATTTTGACCCTCGAAGACGCATCTCAGAGACATTCTCTGTTGACCAGGATGACCTCCAAGAAGTTGTGTGATTGAGCATGAAAAAAATCATAATGAAAAAATCATCATTACATTCTGCTTGTCTTGTAGAGCAGCAAACTCAGCCTCTAAAGTGGAGCCCAGATTGGCCAACAACCCTGTGCCAAAGGAGCAACTGTCACCAGATGGTGGTTGAAGTCACAGAGCAACATCCACAGCAACATCCACTGAGCAGAGACACAGGATGCCAAAGAGATCCAACCAGGGGCTCTTTAGTACAGGTTGATCCCTCATCTGCTTTGCAGAGGGAAGTGAAGGTACTTGAAAGACTATTAATCTATTCCTGAAGTTGTTTGTACATTTAAAAATGGGGGGGGTTCCTTCTTCCCTACCCTTTCATGAGTCACCCGTTTTAATTTTTAACACACACACTTTAAGAGAGATTATCAGAAGATTCTCAATGATTCAAAAGAATCCTATCCTTTGATGATCAATTCATGCTCCTGCTTCTCACAGTTGCTTCTGAAAACTAGGTCAGGTCTATGATGCATATTTTAAATATATTGCAGGAGAGAGCAAAATACCTTTGTGCATCACTGGCCTGCAGACACCTCCAGGAAAAGCACTAAGATTATACAAAAAAACTACAGCAGAGTATTTGAAAAGAAAAACGAAGTGTAGTCACTTCCCATCTGGAAGATCAATACCATTATTGTTGCTGTTGTTATTACTACTATTACTATGACCTTTATTATTAAGATGTCAATCACATACCAACCTAAAGGAGGGGACTGCTCTTCTGCACTTATGCGTTGCTATTTTCTCTTCTCCCACTGTGACATTTTGGCCCAACAGGGTGATACAGCAAAACATTAATGGTCCCCAGACTCGCCAAAAAAATTCAAGCCTTGAAAAAAATATCAACTATAAGAAAAATGAATTATTTAAAGAAAATGTTTTGCTTGTGAAGGGCTGAAATTACCTCCAGAGGTGCTGATTATTTTTAATTTTTTTTTGAGGCAGAAGAGAAAAAAATGACAAACTGGTGATGTCTGAGGATTTTGCTAAGGGAAACAATTAATAATTTCTCAAGTATTATGGCTACAGAAGGATAATTAACAGAAAGACCATTTTTCCCAAGAGATACAAACATCTAAGCAATTCATGATTAAATGAAAACATGATTTGCTTTCTTCAGATTGAAGGCTGAGCAGACATTTTACTTAAAAATACACCAGTGTTGTGGACCTCCTGGGAAAGGCTTTTCTCTGCAGTAACTCACAGCAGCTCTTGGCCACTGGAGCAAAGGGGCTGCACCTTTCTGCCTCCTTCTTCACCAACTCATCATCTCATATTTCAACACCACCAAATACTGTGTTTTGCATCTGGATTAATATAACCTGACATTTCATGGTCCTTAATTCCTTTCTAGTTAAAGATACACTGACCTCCCACGATCAGCAAGCACTGGGAAGGCAAGGCAATGCTCCTCAAGAGTGGCAGGAGCTAAGAACACTTCATCTCTGTGGACACTGAGACAATCACCAGGGAGTTCCTTGTTTCAAATGAAAGATGTTGCATGAACTGCTTCTGAATTTGTCCAAGATCTTAACATCAGTGTCATTCTGGAGCACAAGGTTGCTTCCACAGCTAAAACACTTCTTCACATAGTGCACATCTCCTGTTCTTGGCTTGGAGCAGGGCCCTGCTGGTACCATCTGCTGTTCTCTGAGATCTTGTGGTAGGACAGGGTGAACAATCACTTCCCAGCCACTGATTCCTATCCATTCATTATTTCACAAGCTTTTCCTAACCCTTCATTGTATTTGCCTCAGGCTGTGAAATCCTAACTATTCTTCCACTGAAAACCCTCCTACACCTCTGTCCTTCCTGACTGCCCTTCCATACCCTTGCCCTACCATAAACTTCTCCAGGTGGGTGTCCCAGGAAGGCACAGATTCCAATGCACCAGGGATTTTATCCATAACCACAGCCTCACTTTTGCTCTGTGTTCTTTTCCTTGTAAATTCTCATGTTGCATTTCCTGTTCTCTCTGGTAAGCACTGAGCTGATCTTTTAAGACCACTAAAACTCTATGAAGTTGACCCCAGCAATGGTCAGGTCAGTCCCTATCATGGCCTACACCTTTTTGAATTCTCTCTCCCCAGTTTACACTTAAATTCACTGACTGCATCTTGTGCCTTCACATTATTTCAAATGCCTTCTGCAGTTTTCCATGGGTGGCCTCCATCTTTATGAGGACAAACAGCTTTGAGCTTGAAACCTCCTCTTTCCTCCCTTCTACAGATCATTTATGAATACACTGATCCATCCAGCAGAGACCTCTCCTCTGACTGGCTGCTGTCAACTCCACCTCTTATCTCCTGGGTCCAATTCATAACTTGAGCACAAGACTTTCAGTTTTTATCAAAATACACTAAAAAATAATCCCCTTCCATTCCCACTGAGCTATGCAGGATCCACTTGGAGGACAGGAGATGAAAGAGGTCATTCAGAACCATGTAAAAAGCACAGTGAAAAGGTGATGTCCACATGAGTTTCATCCCCAAGGAATGCCAAGGTGTCATGACCCATTTGGAAGCAAGAAAAGACTCCAGACATGGTTTTCCCTTTTTCTGCCCCAGTGAGAAATGACAGGACTGACCTTTATGTGTCTGTTCATAGCAGTAGACTGAGCAGCTCGGACTAAACCTTCTAACTCAGCACCACTGAAGTTTTTTGTCTCCACTGCCAGTTCTGAAATGTCCACATCTTCAGCCAGCAGCTGGTGCTCCCGCATCCGCACCGTGTGGATGTGCAGGATCTGGAACCGCCCCTTCTCATCAGGCAGGCCTGGGGAGTGAAACAGCCCCAGTCATACAGTGCCTCGGGGCAGCAAAGCCCTCCCTCTCCCCATGGTCCTACTCCCAAAGGCTCTTTCTCACCAAGAGCAACTCATCAAAGAATGACAGAATGGGTTGGGTTGGAAGGGACCTTAAACATCACTGTGCAATTGTAGCCCACAGGGCCAACCACATCCAGGGCTGCATCAAAAGAAGTGTGGCCAGCAGACCCAGAGGTGATTCTGCCCCTCTACTCTGCCCTGGTGGGACCTCACCTGGAGTGCTGTGTCCAGCTCTGAAGCCCCAACAGAAGAAAGATGTGAACTTGTTGGAATGCATCCAGAGGCCATGAAAACGATCCAAGGGCTGGAGCAGCTCTGCTCTGGAGCCAGGCTGGGAGAGTTGGGGTGTTCAGCCTGGAGAAGAGAAGGCTCCAGGGAGACCTTAGAGCACCTTCCAGTGACAAGGCGTGTTGCAGCCAGATGACCTTTAGGGTTCCTTCCAACCCAAACTATTCTAAGATTCTGTGATCAGTTCAGCCCCTAAGCCACCCCAGTGAGCTGGTCACACTATGGTCACATTTGCTTTCCTACTGCAACACATGTGAGGTTACATACTGCACCATGCCAGCCTGCTTACCTATCTCCATTTTCACCTCTAGTCTCCCTGGTCTCAGCAGAGCTTCATCAATCAGGTCAGGTCTGTTGGTCATTCCTAAAATCAAAGTTAAAAACAAAATAAGCTTTATCTGAGCTGACTGAGTGGGTCTCCAGATCCCTAATACAGCCCACAGAGCTAAGCAGATACCTCACAGAGTCTCAAGAAACCTGACAAAAAATATCCCACTTCCAGAAATACTGGAAAAGTCAGGTCCTGAAGTAGGGTTAGGGCAAGAGGGATCAAACCTGTACCCATGGCTGGATCTGCAGGGCTCCTGGCACCAGAACACCTAGAGAACACAGCTTGAGAAGCCCTACTATTTCCCATCCCACCACATCAATGGGTATTGATCCTTACAAGTTTCTTTCAACTATGAAACACTTGTTATCAAAAGCTAAAGGAGGGAACTGTTGGAAGCAGCAATATCAGGTGATTACAGCACCATCTCCTTCCACCTGGTACTGCTCCAGACACCCCATTTGGATTGGACCAAACCCATCCCATAACTTAGTTGAGCAAAATATTAGCAGTTTTCAGGCAGACCCCACAACAGAGAAACAAATAAGCAGCCTCCTACCAATCACCAGGATGTTATTGAGCTGCTCTACACCATCAATTTTAGACAGCAACTGGTTCACAACGGTGTCGTGGACGCCGGTGCTACCTGCCATGCTTCCCCTCTGCTTGCAGATTGCATCAATCTCATCAAAAATGATGATGTGCACTCCACTGTTTGCTCCCAGCTATTGGAGAGAAAAACATGTCAGGAATGC